GGATCAAACGAGATAAGATTACAGGTGTGATGATTGGTAATGTCACATCTGCTCATCTGCGAGCATCTGCGTCTGCGGGTTCTGCGCCCATCTGCGGCAACTTTGAGCCCCCCTAATAACAAGCCTCAGCCTGGCTATTCGTTACTAGGCCAAGCTCTTCCTCAAGTCAGCAATTCTAGCCGTTGCCCGATCAAATGACTTCGAGTCGACAGTTCTCTTGTCCAGTGCATCCGCAAGAGCAGCGACGATGCTCGCTCCCTGATTCACATCTCTGGCAGACGCAAGTATCAAATCCATCCCTGCCTCTGTCGCCAGAATTGCCCTGTTCGCGTGGCTGCCGTATGCTGATAATCCTCCCGCCTCGATAGCATCGCTAATTGTTACCCCCTCAAAACCCAGTCTCCCTCGCAACTCTGTATATATGACATCGGGCGACATGCCCGAGGGTCGAGATGCGTCTATAGCGGGGTATATCGCCCAGGATGGCATGACGAGCTTCACGCCCGCTGCAATAGAAGCGACGTACGGCAGCACATCGACGGCGCGGATCTCTGATAGAGAGAGGCTCAGCGTCACGGGCTTGAGGTCTGTATTCTGTGCCGCCGCCGCTGCGCCGAGCCCAGGGAAGTGCTTTGCGGATGCGGCGACTCCCGTAGCTTGCTGTGCTGCGATAAAGGCTGCGCCACAGGAACTCACTTTTACAGGGTCGTTGCTGAAGGACCGTTCGTACTGGTCCTCGAAGTCGCCGGGGGTGCGGAAAACATCTAGCACCGGCGCTAGGTTCACGTTCATCCCAACACTCTTCAGGTTCTCCCCTGCGCCCGTCCCCCCGCTGCCTGCAGTTCCTGCGGCACACATCTGCTTCGCACTCTGTGTCGGAGCGCCGCTCAGTCGTCGTACCTGCCCGCCCTCTTGGTCGGTCATGAGCAGGAGCGGCAGTTTTGTTGGAGATTTTGCATTGGCGTCTTTAAGTGATGTGATCACACTGGAAATGTTGGACCCAATGTTCTCCTTGAAGAAAATGATGCCTGCTACCTGGCCTGCAGAGATGGCAGTGTACAGGGACTGGGGAGGGGTGATGCCGGCATAGGACCATATGACATGCTGTCCTGCCGAGACAAGAGAGGCAGCTGTTACACTGAGAACTGGGGTCGGAACCCAGGCAACGGTGAGCAGGAGTAGGGGGGAAAAACAAAACATCTCGTATTGATAGAAGAGAAGCAATCCTCAGAGAGCTTTATGCATGTGCAAGTAAGCATTTGACACCGGCAATGGATGGACAGTTTGTAGTCAATTGAAGAACATCAGTTGATGAGAGCAGCGCGTTAAAAGCCTGTCGAGAGGTTCAACCGCCATTGATCAGGCAACATCCAACGATGACCATCTGCGCATGGCAAGTTGAGATGGAGGCATCGATCTTGGTTCTTGGGTGCTCTGATGAACTGTGGTGCGCAATATTTATCACTTGATACTCACGCGTGAGCGAAGACGTCAGCCCAGTTGGAAGTGAACCCCGCTGATATGTATTATACAACCTACAGCCCGTAAAATAACGGAGCATACAACGCCACTTGCAGAGGGTATCAGAACAATAAAAAGTAGCAATCGGCGAATCGCCATTGCCCAAGACCTCTTCCAATAAAGACAACACGCCTATGTGAGCTTCTCAAACTGCAAAAACTCGCTGTCGCGCCCACGGAATGTGTGGAGCTGCCCTGCGGAGATTTCAGGGTAGTAGCGGGAGAGAGGCACTTCGAAGATATGATTGTTGCCGCGCATGTATTGCGTAAATGCGTAGCGTAAGGTGACAAGAGCGGTCACAAAACCTGTATTGAAGTTGAACGTGAGGAGCAGAGGTATTCCTTCGGAGGACTTACATATGAAAAACTCGACCCAGACAAGGATCTTGAGCGCTTGGACATCTTTACACCACAGGCGCTCTTCAGTGAATTCTACGAGAGAGTTAGGTTATGAGATATGTAACTTGTTTCAGAGAGACGAACCAATCGGAATGGAGTTACAGTTAAAAGGGATCATCCGCCAGCGGGAGGTGGAAAAGGAGTTAAATGCTAGCATGGAGTCAATCAATCTTATTCAGAAGATGCATCGAGTCACTCACCAAGCCAGAATACGCTCAATAGCCCAAAGTGCCCTATCTCGAATTGCGCACGACCCGTGTATGAGTTTGCCACCGTGAAGTCGAGTAGAATTCTGTGGGCGTTGGACCCTTAATGTAGGGAAAGTGTCATCCACGATGCTGGACGTACGCAATGCCCAGAAGAACGAGAGTTGCAATAGAAAGACCAAAAGGGAAGAGGTCCGCCGCGACTGGGATCCGTTTAATATAGGCACATCAAATCTTGGTTACATGCTCACAAAAGAATTCTTGAAATTGATTCACGCGGGTAGAAAAAGCCAGGACAAGCATATTAGCAAGGAAAAGAGTTGCTAGTCAAAGGCGATGTCCGATGGCAAATGAGTACGACGTCGGTAGGGTATTGAATGGCTTCACCATGGACGGCAACTTTGACCTTGCCAACTTTAGAGAAACCCATCGGAGGCGAAGATCAACAAGCTGAGAGAACAAGTCAGAAAGTCGAGTACCAGACCAGAAGAAATGTAGATGGAGAAAGGTGTGAACGAAGCATGCAAACTTCCAAGTGACTGGAGATGTCGTCAGGGCAACATGCGAACTCCAAAAATGTGGAGATGAAAACAGATGCATTAAGAGGGAATCGAACCCCCGGCGGGTCGAGATTCACTCGACAAATGGCAACGACCCAGGTTACCACTACCCCATTAATGCGTGGCTATGGCGAGGTTATCTACATTGATCAGTTTCGGATTAACCTCGGGCCGGACTTCACCTAAGCTCCACCTTGTACTCCTCCAGTTTCTAGCCACTGTTCTTCGAATAACGATTAAAACGTCCTCGTTATTTTAGCTCTATATGCCGCCAGTTCCTATCACGTTCACCGAAGATATATCTCGCCAGATTTCTGCATCAAAGAGGCGACAGAATGACCTCGCAGAATTCCAGATTCCGCGTCTGAGGACATGTACCGGGCCACTATCTTTGCAACAGAGACTAGCAGCTGAACTCCGCGAAGACATAGAGCTATTTGCACATCAAGTGGAGGTGTGTCGCATAACATGTTATCAGGGCATGGCCGACCGACTGAAAAGCTGCCACGTTTACAAAGACTTTGGATATATGTGTTGGCGATCAAAGGGGAGAGAGGAATCGAGCTGAGCTCAGGCGCATAGTTGACGAGTTGCAAGAAGGCCTTTCCCAGTATGTAATATTTTCTCTTTCTTTCCTGTGTATATTATTGACACATTGCATAGACTACGGCGAGACTCGCGGGCCGCACTTCTACATTCCAAGCGAACCATAGACGGACAGAGCAAGTCTCAAAGGGAAGAACTCTTGGCTTCAGCAGCGGCCACTGAGAAACAGAATTCAAACGAGAAAGTCACGTAAGTAATCATTGTCCTAGCTACCCAGATGCTCGCTCATGCCGGGCTAGGGAGGATGCACTCATGAAAGCTAATAACGACGTAACCGAGGCCTTGCGGCGGACAATAGGCTTGATGCAGGGTGAATTGGAGCGCTCCGTCCTCTCCACACAGATGCTTGGTGTGTCGACTTTGACTGTCATGTAGCGAATAAATGCTGATATGCATAGTTCAGACTCGTCTACTGCCTCTTTGCGCGCCACTTCTTTAACGCATGACACACTCACCGACCTCATGAGCACTTCTAAGCACCTCATTACTGCACTGGAGAAGTCTGACTGGATTGATCGCGTGCTTATCATCTCCGCCTTCATCTTCTTCATCCTTGTCGTGCTTTTCATCGTTAAACAACGCATTCTCGACCGCAGTCTGCGTGTGGCCCTCTGGTGGACGCGCTTCCTGCCGGATTTCTCTGGAGACTCGGCCCTGTTGAATATGGAGAAGGGAAGTGCTAGTGTGGTGCTCTCCTCCGTGACAGCGACAGCATCAGCATCTGTCTCAATGGTATCGGCTTCGTTAAGCGTAACGCAGTCCCTGTCAGAGGCTGCAGATCACTCTGATCCTACAGCGAAAGATCTATCAAGTTCGAGCTTGGAGACCTTGTACTCAGAGGTCACGGCCTCCGCCCCCGCCTCTTCAGAAACAGCTTCATCTGGGTCTGTACCGACATCTTCTCCAGAAGCACAGACTGTGATACCAGATACATCACATCATGTACTAGACGAGCTTTAATGCTACGCGTACATCGATTCAATTTCATACCTAACTCAACTGATGTTTGCACCGGTTCGAATATCTCGGGACCGATGTATGTAATGTTTATCCTCAATCCTTTTTCTTCAGGTGGTCGCCTTCTCTGGGTTATATCGCGGTGGGGCGATTGTACTCAAGTAGACGAGGACGGTTGAAATCGATGCAAGATGCGATGTCATTTTGATTTGAAGTGTTTGGAAGTTGGTATATCTTTTGTACACAGAATGATCAAGTAAAAAAGAAATGCTTCAAGCTGTCTAAGGTCCACCGGCCAGAGCTAGGATCCTCGCAGCAGCTTGCTCTGCCACCGACATCAACATCCCGTGGGGGTTGCTCATTGGCATGGAGGGGACCTATGTATACCGTATTAGGCCACCTATCGTCTGAGCAAGGATGTTTATGAAAACTTACGATAGATGCATCGACGACGAAAAGATTGTTGGTGTTGAAAACTTTTGTGTTCTCGTCGACGACGGCCTTCGCTGCAGAGGTACCAATGATATTGGAGCCCACCCAGTGGTTGGAGTTCAATCCAGCGGGATCGTATTTGTTGACATAGTCTGTGATGGTGGTCTTGCTATCGGGGGTGATGAGGGTTAGTCCAGACACTAGAAACGACACGGTTAGTATAGGAACCCAAACAAATACATTGATGAGGAGCATACCACTCTTGATGTTAGAGACAATATCGTTGAGGCCCTGGATGAGAGTCGCCTTGTCAACAGGATCTGTGAACCAGGGCTGAACCAGAGCGCGGGCAGTATTGGCAGCGTCGATTCCGATGCGGCCACGCGAGGTGACACCAGTTGACCTAAGTATGTGTGAGATGCTACTTGACAGTGTACTGATCATACGAATTTCACTCACAGGTACGCGGTGATGGTGAAGATCTGGCTGGCATTGTATGGCAGGGTAGTTGTGACGGAAGCTGCGCCCGGGCGAACTGTGCCTTGAAGCTACGACGGTACGTTAACTCTGATGTTGGGAGGATAAAGGACGACATACCCAGCGAGTTTTACCATCAGATCCACTGTATGCACGCCAGAAGTTGAGCCTTGGGAGCAGTCAGTTCGAGCCATCCAATGGAGTCGAGTGTAGCATACCTGGGTGAGCCCTGAGAAAAGATACCCGCACCCGACTTCAAGTATTGTGCAGAGTCAGCAGGACGGGGCTTGGTCCAAATGGGCGCCCAGTTATCGTACGCGTCTACAGAGGGATGCGTAAAGACCAGCTACGAAAATTAGGGATCGTCAATATTTTGCTTTGATTCAGGAGGTGAATAGGCGTACATTGATCGATGGGTTATCAGCGACATTGTAACCAACAGGAAGATTAATCCATTGAGCCTGAGGTGGTAGCTGGGCGGCGGCGGTCGAATCGCTCTTCACGACGTTGATCATGTCGGTTGGGCCAATGCCGCTACGGAACAAAATGCGAGGGGATCCGAAAGAACCAGCGGAGAGCACAACACGGCCTTTAGCAGTGAGGGGAATTACGCCATTAGGGCCGAGAGAGGTGTCGTTGGTCTTGACACCAGTGATCGTAGCACCATTACGGACGACATTCTGGACGTAGACATAGTTCTTGAAGGTAAAGTTTTTCCGTGCCAGAGCAGTCTTAAGGTAGGTTGCAACAGGTCCAGTACGCTTGCCTTTGACGAACTATGTGCAACATGATTATGCTTTGGTGCGACCGCAAGGGAAATCGAATGCCTACGTTGTATGCACTATATCCATAGACATGATCCTTGGAGTTGGGCTGGTCGTTGATAGTGATTTGGCGATATCCTTGACCCTTGAGAAGCTGTGCAGCGACATCAAAGGTTTCCTCAAGGTAGCGCTTGCCATCCGTGGAAGGTGCATCCGTGCTAGGAAGTCGTGCCTTCAGCTTGGCAGTGTATGGTGCGTGATTTCCCCAAGAGGCAGGCCAGCCATTGGCTGTTGAGAAGTCGGAATCGGGGGGGAACCAGTACAGGCTAATAACGGATAAGTTTGGTGATGAAGTGAACGAACTGATCTCCCCTCACGCTCCGTTGATCGAAGTTCCACCACCAGTCAGGCACCCGGCGAAGACGTTGACATCTATGGTCATTTTTTCAGGTTCTATATTCAGTTATAAAATACGAGGATGTAAACCTTTGCACCACCAGAAGGGGTTTCCGTCATTGAACATCGACTCTGTAATATATTGATCGCTCAGTTGTTTGACGATTTCTTTCCAAACCTATGACGCACCGAAGAGGCCGGGAACATCGAATTTTGTCAACTGTCACATAAAGCGTCAGTGGCGCCAACCCGGGATATTGTTAGTTGCTCACATTAGCTCCCGCGGCCCAGCTGGGGCTGTACCTTCCTCCGGTCTCCCAAGTACTCGGGCCACCACGTTCTAGAAGGAGGACCTTCTTACCAGCTTCCGAGAGACGGTCAGCTACAACCAGTCCACCGGGGCCAGATCCAACAACAATGTAATCATAAGGTGTGGCCTGTAGCCCATAAGTATTAATATAATTTCTTGAATGAATGCTTACCGAAACAGAAGGCGCAGAGCTGCTTGTAGTAGTTGAAGCCGCAGTAGTTGTCACGCCACCAGTGCCACCAGCCTTCCAGTTATCGTAGGCAGCTTGGGAGACGTGAGCAGCAGAGTAATCCAAACCGAAGAAACCAACTGCTCTACGCTGTCAATATGACGATAAAAATTGGGACATGAGAGAAAACTGACAGTCAGTGTGTTGATTGAAGGTGCTTTGAGCATTAGCTGGAGCATCGACTGCGACATTTGACCAGGCCCAGGCAGGGACACCGAAGGAGTCGACAGGAACGGACCGTGTGCCACCGGGGATAGACCAGGCTGAAGCAAAATCAAGCTCTGAGCCGGGTTATGGGTCAAGGCACTTACTGATGCAATTGACACAACGGAAAACCCATTTCCAATGTGTGGCATTAACTTTGGTAGAAGGTAGATCCGTCAAAACAGGGCCAGACATTGCTGTTGGTAGCACATAATCGCTAAACGATATCGAATAAGCATTCATGGAGAGGGAAAATAACTTGTGGCGTCTCTCACTTTGAAAACCTGACAGAACGAACTATCTTGCCCGCATTGGGCCACGCGACAAGTAGCAAGTTCTGCAACATGTTTCCGGCAGGACTGATACCGGCCCACTTTGTGGCAATAGGTGCAACGATCTCGCCAATGAATTCATTCGATTTGGCCGCAAGTGGAGGGAACACGAAGCCATATGTGACTTTGTGAACAGGGTCTGTATACCCCCAGAAGGATATTCCATTGTCGGGATCGGTGTAGGGACCACCCGCCTGGGATAGGGCTACAATGTAACGAATCGTTAGGTATGCATCTCTCGGAAAGCAGACGAAAAATACATACCAGAACCCAAAAATGGAAGAAGAGACAGTGCTAGACGCAAAAGCATCTTGCGCGAGAGGGGGGGATACGATTGTTGCAACCTTCTTGTGTGTCCAAGGTTTTAAAGTCCTCAACCACAGGCGAGGAAATTCCGGGGCACAATCGGTCGAT